CTCCACCACTGACGGGCAGACCTTCAGCTTCTCTGCTCCCACCCTCTGGAACTCCATCCCACAGTCCCTCTGCCTCAACCCTCCCTTACCTCCTTCAAGACCATCTGAAGACCCTCCTCTTCCCTCCACCCCGTCTGATCCCAATCACCAACTCGGGTGTGGTACCCTGACTGTCCAGTGCTTTGGGACGTCCTCTGAGTGAAAGGTGCAGTACACATGTCATTTGTTGTTGTTGTTGTACCCTTGCCATAGTTATTCATCAACTAAAGCTTCAACATATTCTATTTTCATTTACTTTAAATTTGTGAATCTATATTTTTGAAGCTGATAAATTCTTGGGCTAAATAGCACCTTAACCAAATTATAGCCATGTTGGTTACCTGTACCTTGCCCTACAGTTAATTTTGAAAGCAGATCGTAAATTTATGCAAATCTCCATCTTCCTTTATAAAAACAATGACCACAACTGCATTTATTTAGGCCCTTTGCACAGCACAATATCTTAAGATGCTCCCCAACTTTCCTATACTTGACTTGCTTCCCAAGGTTAAGTCCAGGATAGCCAAGATTTTGTAATTGTAAAATACGCTGTTCACCCATGCAGTCATGCACTCACTCCAGGAACATACACTTCAATCTTGCTGGTGTTATTATCCTAGTCAGGATCTGGGACATTCACAGCCTGGTGACAAATGCTGTCTTTTTGCCAGGCCTCCCTTTTCTCCAAAAGTATTTCCTGGTCACATTATAAGAGAAGGGCCGCATCAATTAATCACTTTCTTTATTCTTATGTGTATCCCTAACTAATTACACCTTGTCAGGTAAATCATCTATTATTTATTTTGAAACAAAACCATGCATTCATATTGCTACCACTCCCTTTTCTTTGTAACATTTCTCCTTTTTGTAAAGTAACCTTAGCACTTTAATCTCTAAGTGTAACCAAAGCACGGTTGCTCCAATTACATTGAACTAGTATAACCGACTGGCTTGTAGTTTCCCTTATCCCTTACTAAGAACATCTTGTTCTGCTACAATAAGATCTTCCACTTTTCGTCATAAATTAATCCTGTGGTGTGTGTGATAACCACTTGCTTCCAAACTGTCCTTTTCCTACAAGTTACACTTCTGCTACCTCAGCAGATTTCTATCTTTATTTCCCCATTTAAAGGTCCAGGTCCTTTCCAAAACCTACATTCCACCCCAGACACTCTTTCCCTCACATGACAAGTTTTGCAACAGATTGCAGCACTTCAGCATTGGATGGAGTTACAAACTTTTCCATGATTCCTTACATGCAGCACTGACAGCCATAGCCTGTGCCTCTTCTTTCTGTGTGTCTAACCAACAGCATTACCAGAATTGATACCTGGCTGCCTGGTTGGCTGCATGTTCTGTCTTAGAAATCCTACAAACTATCCAAGACTCTGCATTCCCATAAGATATGCAAATGAGTATGTCCTCTCGCTTCAGAGTCAGAAGGTTGAGGGTTCAAGCCCCATGTTATGACTTTCAGCTCAGTCTAGGCTGATAACTCCAGGCTGGGGATCCTTCTGATCAGATGTTAACCCAACGTCCCACCCAGCTGTTCAGGTGCATGTTAAATATCCTGCGACACTATTTGAAAAGAGAAGGGAGTTTCTTTCAGTTTCCTGGCCAATAATCCCCAAATAAATTTGACCATTCACTTCATGTCTATTTGTGAAATATTATTATTTATATTACCACCCACTGAGCCTACATAAGTGTTCTCACCAAAACCCATCATCATTGTACTACGGATTTCCTCTTGCCTCTAATATATGAATTCTTCCACAGAAACACTCACTCAGATCTGATAATACATTTGCAAATGCAAGTATTATTGCTTATATTTGTTCCCAGCTACTTACTGTTCAACTAACTACTAACTGTCCAATAAGATCTCCTATGTATAATAGAATGTATAACATTATGTATAACGGCATACTTTTTGGTGAGTTATCTTTGTTGAAATCAAGTGATCAAGGGATCTAAGCTAAGCTTTTGTTCCAATCACAAATAAGTGACATATAAGCTCTCTTTATAAACACTTCACTACTGGTTTAAGTTGAAACCCCATGATACTTTTACAACCTAACCTAGGCTCCCAACCATGCTCCCTTAACAAGTTTATAATCATGCTTCACCTTTGCCTCACATAAAGACCCAAAAGGAGATTGGTACATTTATGGACTATTCCTGCAGAGGGGGAGCTCACATTTGAACGTTATATGTAATGGGTCTATGGCATTAGAAACAGTGAGAAGCAGGTGACTCCAATTCTCCAAATCTACCACATCTGATTAATAGCTGTCTCATAATCATTGCGCACAGCGTCTTTCACGCTTGGGTGTTGGCAATCTCCACCAGCTTTACACCTGCTCTCTCAGAGATCAGTTTTGTAAATCACTGCTTCCTGGAGCTGGCTAGGAGAATCTTTCCGGTTTTGCAGAACAAATCCTCGGTGCTGCAAGGTAGAGTAGTGAAAATAAGATACTTGAAATGCACGGCATCTGATATCATACAAATATCAAGTGTGACTTTTCAAAACAAATGCTCAAAGTAAATTTCTCATTCAAAAAATCTGCCCTCTCTTTCAAACACTGATCAGCTTTCTGTGATTGACCAACATCACAGTTTCTCAGATTTCCGGCATTCACATTTCTTCTTTTCATCTCTCGAACAGATGCAGCCCAACTGTGAATGTAGTTTCTATATCTGATGCAACAGCACACCACAGAGCAACACATTGAATCTCATTCACATTAAAACACACATGGGAGGTAGGCCTGCACCATGTGGGACACATACAGCAATGTGTAAATCAAAGCATCACCAACTTGCTTTTTCTTTCCCACTTGAAATAAAACTTAGCAACGGGTTTTGATTTTCCTTTTCTACACCTACCAATTCTTTCACTTTATGAAACAGCTGTTAAGATAACTGTTCTCTTTGGATAGTGTAGTTTGCTCAGCTACAGATTTTATGAGTGCTATTTATTACTTGCAATAGCAGCCAACATATTGTATCCAGAAGGGGTACTGCATTTACAGAGGCGTCTTCAAATGAAAGTGGCAAATATAGTTACCGAGCAGGGAACTAAGATAGATAAAGGTCCTGAACAAAGATACAGACAAAAGAGAGAACATATTTAGAAGGATTGTGAAAGCAGAGAATAAAGTAGTTATGGTGAAGTGGTTTTGGAAAATAATTTCAGAATAGAGGCAAGATATCCAAATGCTTGGCTCTGGATAGTTGAGCAAGCAACAACAACAACACATTTATAAAGCGTCTTTCACGTCGGGAGGACATCCCAAAGTGCTGAACAGTCAGATGTCGGAGCCGGAGCATGGGGGAGGGATGGTGTAGGGGTGAGGGTGCAGCACCTGAAGGAGACAATCGCATACCAGAGCTTTGGATCAGTTACACTACAGCTTCACACCATTTGCAAATGTAGTGCAACTGATGCAAAGCCAATTTGTGTCATTAGCCTGGTTCAGTTGTAGCACTCTCAGCTCTGAGTCAGAAGGTTGTGGGTTCAAGCCCCACGTAGGGAACTCACAGTCTAGGCTGACATTGCTGGAGATGTGCTGCATTGTTCGAGGTGCCGGCTTTTGGATGAGGCTGCAAACCAAGGTCCCATCTGCCTGTTCAGGCGGACATTAAGATCTTGTGTCACTGTTCAGAAGAGAAGAGTTTCTCCTAGTGTTCAGGCCAACAATCCCCCAAATAAAATTGGGCATTAACTTCATAACTGTTTGTGGGAATTTTTTGTGTGCAAATTGTGTCATGTTTGCCTGTAAAATATAGTCACTACAGTAAATCTTGTGAAGCGCTTTCAGAAGTCCTCCCAATATGAAAAGGCCAAGGCCCCTCTGAACTCTCGTCCAATTACGTACAATTCTTCCTGGTCAAATTACATCATTTCCAAAAGTGGAATGGCTTAATCAAACCAGTTAGTCCTTGCAAATATTATTGCTTCGCATGTATTTGTGCAATGGATTCAAAGCAATTCAATGAATACAAAGTTTGCAAAGTGATATTGCAAACATTTTCATTTACAGCAGCTGAACTCAAATCAGAAAAAAANTATGGCTTTGGGCTATTGTTCTCGCAATACATGATGTCTTTCTAATTTATCTTTTAGGAGAGAGAAAAACTTTCATTAGATAGACCTCATGCATTGTCAGAACAATATTGCTGCAGCTCCTGACCTAAAGCATGATAATCTCCAGAGATACAGCTGGGCGGTCTGTGAAAAAAACATAGAAGTACTATAATAAAGTCTAAACACACACACCATCCATGGTATTGACACACATAAACAAAAGGGAGATCATTGCAAAATACCCTAGAACTTTTTAATAGTGCCTTAATGCGCCAAAGTGCTTTCTGTCAAATGTACTGAATGTTTTTGTAAGTAACCACAGACATCATTTTGTACACCACAAAGACCACCAGGCCCAACTGTATCTGGGGGAAATATTGGCCACTGGAAGCATAACTCCCTTTTCTTTTTGAACGGATCTTTAACGTCCACCTGAGGGGCCGAGCTCGGAACTTCAGGTAGGACTTCCGAGGTCTGCCCGTTCGGGCAGATGTTAAAGATGTCATGATGTTTGGGAGAGATATTTTTCTTTGGCATCATGTCAGGGGATGTTCCAGATCCCTATGGCACAATTGAAAAACGAGGACATCTGAGCCCAAACACCAGCACATATGGCAAACCCTTCCCTCTCCTCACACCTCACCGACCTGTGAATCGACAAGTTTTACACATCACCTGAATCTTTTCTTCCATTCACAGCTCCAGTGCACCAACACCTGGACAGGTGAGGCCGGTTCCAAAGAGGTCAGAGTGTGGGTTACAGCCTCAGGCTGTTGGCGCCGGGAGGCGAGGAGACCTGAGGGGCTGAGAGACCGGGACAAAGCATTGCCCAACACGGTAACCGTCTCCCGGGGCATCATCGTGTACTCACCGCAAACACGGCATTTTGCAGCCCGAAGGGAATGGGGGTGAGTCTGGCCAAGGCCACCACCTTCAACCCGCTGCCGCCTTCCACCACCCTGACCACGGCGCTCAGCCGGTCGCTGCCCCGCACCTTGGCGGACACCCAGGCCGTCAGCAGCCTCTTGCAGAGGACGTGAGCCACGAAAGTCCCGACCAGCACCCCGACCACCACCAGCCCCAGCCCCGGCACGAAGCCGTACAGGTAGCCGGCGGCCACGTTCAGCACAATGTAACCCCAGCTGCAGGGGAAGGACACCAGGATGAAGCCCAGGACGAAGAGCAGAGTGCCCAGCGCGCTGTCCAGGCTCTCCACCCACAGCAGCAGGTCCTTCAGGTAGCGCCGCACCAGCGTGAGCGAGGAGCAGCAGACCAGGGTGAGGATGCAGACCAGCAGGAGGCTCTTGAAGCAGCAGTTGTTGAGGTAACAGGTGGTTTTGGGGTCCCCCAGGATGGGCATCCCGCTCGGCACCTCGTGCTGCTGCAGGTTCAACCCGGATTTCACGTGGATTCGCTCCTCGTAGGAAACCACGTCGACGGCGTCCATCTCGGCGAGCAGCGAGTCCGGGCAGGGTCTCTGCAGCCCCCGACTGAGCACCGACTGACCTTTGCTCAACTTCCTCAACACTTTGACGAGTAATCTGCAAAGATCCGCCAGAGTTCCACATGTTTGTGCGGAGGGGGAGAGAGAGAGGGAGAGAGAGAGGGGGGGGGGGGTGTGGGGGGGTTGTTCTTTTTTTTTTGGGGGGGGGGGTGTTGGGGGGGTGAGTCAGTCAGTCAGACAGGGAGGGAGGGAGGGAGGGAGGGAGGGGAAGGTGGAATTGGAAGACGAGGCAGAAAAGAGCGTTTCCCTTTTTTTTCCCCCAATTTCTTTTTTTGGTTTGTTTTCCAAAAAAAATGAAACAAAACTCACCGGTAAATGTTACCTCGGGAGCTTCGCAAACCGATGCATTTCTGTGGTGCGATGTGCAATTAACTAACTCACTCCACTAACTAACTAACTACACTAACTACACTAACCAACCAACTAACTAACTAACTAACTGTCAGGCGGGGGCAGCAGAAACTGCAAGGAAATCAACAATCCTGTGGCTTTGCGGCGAAAATGCAAGGCTGGAGCTTCTGTGGCCAGAGATTTTACATGGCTGCAGAAAGAGAGAGAGAGAGAGAGAGAGAGAGAGGGGGGGAAGGAGGAAGAGAGAGAAAGGAGAGAAAGAGAGAGGAGCCTGGATGCAGCTGCAGCCTTGCACTGGAGGAGAGGAGATCTTACGTGTGGAGAGCCTGAGGTCCTCGGTGAGGATGGAGGGCGATCCCTCCTCCCGGGGAGGGTGGGTTGGGGGCGGGTGCAAAGGGTTAATCGGTGCGGGGATGCGCCGCGGGGATGCGGGGAGGACAGCAGCTGAGGCCGGAGGAGGAGGAGGGCGGACTGGATCCTGCCCCGTCCTGCCCCATCCTCAGCCGCCTTCCTCTTCACACCACACGCAGACGGCAGCGGCAGCGGCGGCGGCAGCGGCGGCGGCCAACCTCCCGCACTCTGCTCCCGCAGATCAGATGGGTCGGCGACTGACTGGGGCCCTGATGCAAAGGCGGTGCGGTGCGTGTGTGGGGCTTGTGGAGGCTGCAGCCCCCTGTGCTGGGCAGGGCAGGGCAGGGCTGGCAGGGCAGGGCAGGGCTGGCAGGGCAGGGCTGGCAGGGCAGTGCTGGGCAGGGCTCAGTGCCGCTCCCCCCCCCGGGCTGTGGCTCTGTGCTGGGCTCCGGGCTGCAGCTCCTCACAGCCGCCAGCAATAACCACACCAAAGCCTCTCCCTCTCCCTCCCTCCACAGCCCCACAAGCACGTCAGCCAACACCGCCCACATACACTGCACACACACAGCACAGCACAGCACAGGCCGCTCACACTGTAAACAGCTCAGCCCACAGACACTCTGCACACACACAGCACAACCCACATACACTGTTTGCAGACAAGAGCATAGGCTGCTCACACTGTGTGAACAGAGCTCAGCCCCATACACACACACACACACACACACACACAATATTATAATGATAATAATAATAATCCTTGCATTTGTTATAGTCTTTTTCACGTCTTCGAGACGTCTCCAAGCGCTTCACAGACTATGCTGCGAAGTGAATTGACATCGTTTGTTTGAATTACATTTTGTTTTGCGTCTTTCATGTCAGGAGGATGTCCCAAGGCTCTGACTGTGTAAAGAGACGCAACACAGCCCACTTGCACTGTTTAGAGACAGAATGTAAACTGGTTACTCTGTTTAAAGGTTACACTATGTGTTTGTTAACCTGTCCGCACTTCCCACAAAGAGGGGAGCAACAGGGAGGGGTGTACAAGCTTGTACCTGCGCCCTGCAAAGGGTGGCAGGACCCTGAGGCGGGGAAGCCTCGGTCCCTCCACCAAAGTGGAGGGCGCAGAGGCAACCCCCGCCAAAAGGGGTCGGGTCTGCGGAGTGGGTGGCAGAGGAATCACTGTAGCTGGGATACATAATACCATCAATCTCAAGTGTTCTGGGACACTACGCTGTGTGAGAATCACAAGTTGTTGTTGTCCGTTGCGTCCTGTAACGGGATAATAACATGTTGCGTTTCTTTATTCTGTCACAGGATTTGTTTCTTTTGAGATAAGTGTAAATATATATTCTGTCGACAAACTACAAATAAATATATATATAATTTTTAAAAAGTTTAAAGAGGCACAGCACAGGACTGTTATACCATTTGAAAAGCGAAGAAACTTTCAGTTTTATTGCTTAAAGAAACCAATCACAAGCTGGTTACACTGTTTAAATGGACAAGAACCGATCTATGAGTCCTAAATCTGCCTGTACCATACCAAAACTTAACCTCGTCTACATATCTCTCTAGTCCAAAATCACTCCAGGCTCCTCTTCCTTTCACGAATCACCTCCATCCAGCCATGTTCCCTATAGTCTCAAAAAGGTCACTGAATTGGTACATGGTATTAAATTAGTTAAGTCCTGACTAAATCAGGGCGAAACCTTAGGCCAATTTCCTTACTCCATACACACATCTCTGTTTTTCTAGCAGTAAATAGGAACCCTCTTATTAGTTGATTGGTGGATAGCTTTCTGGGAGTAATAATCCTTCCAAAGAATAATAATGTGGTAACTCAATCCACAACTGTTTTTTGGGACACTTGTGCACAATTGGCTGCTGCGTTTTATCCACAAAAAACAGTCACTACACTTTACAGTAATCCTGTGAAGCACTTTAAGACATCTCGAAGACTTGATAAGGCTCTGTATCAAATGCAAGGATTGTTATTATTATGATATATCCCAGCTACATTGTTTCCTCTGCCACCCATTCCCTGTGTGAGTCCCTCCAAAGTTACTTCTATCCTGCCCACAGCACTTAGGCAACTCTGGGTCAAAGTCACCAATGAGATCCTCTGTCTATGACCAACACTGCCTGTGCCTCTTTGATGTCTCTGCCTCTTTTGACACTGTTGACCACTCCGAACATCCGTACCCCCTTCACCTCTGTGTTTCTGCACTTTCCTGTTTCCACTCCTACTAAAGCGCTTTGAGACAACTCGTCGACATGATAAGGCGATAAACCAAATTTAAGTATTATTATTATACTCATTACCAGTTCCAGCATCTTCACTCTGTCTCCGGTGTTCTGTTCGACCCTGAGCTGTCCTTTCTCCCTCATAATCGTGCCACAACTGGCACTGCCTTCCATCACCTCCGGAATATCGCCAGACTGCAGCACTACCTCACCCCTCACGCTGCTGAAACTCTGGTCCACGCCTTTATCACCTCAAGGCTGGACTATGGGAACTCTCTCCTCGCCGGCCTTCCCGCCACCTCCCTCCACAAGCTGCAGGTCATTCAGAACTCTGCAGCTCGTGTACTGTCCCGCACCAGGCTTCGCGACCACATCACTCCCACCCTCGCTCACCTCCACTGGCTCCCCATCCCCAGAGGATCGAATTCAAGATCCTCATCCTCACCTACAAGGCCATTCATGGCCTTGCTCCCTCCTACCTCTCCGACCTACTATCCCCCTACTTACCTGCCCGTACCCTCCGTTCCTCTGGCTCCGGTCTGCTCCACATCCCCCGCCCCAACCGCCCTACTATCGGTGGCCGGGCCTTCAGCCTCTCAGCCCCGAGGCTCTGGAACTCCATCCCCCAGTGCCTTCGCCGCTTCCTCCCTTTCTTCCTTCAAGGCCGGTCTCAAGACCTTTCTCTTTGACCGTGCCTTCAGCTCCCCTCTCGACTCTCTACCCCCTCCTCGCTCCCTCCCTTCCCTCCCCTCCCCCTGACCATTTCCCCCCTGCTCGGGTCCTGACCCAACTGTACAGCGCCTTGGGACGTCCTCCCGACGTGAAAGGCGCTCTATAAATGGAATCTTGTTGTTGTTGTCTACTCATAGAAAATTAGAAGCAGGATTAGGCCATTCAGCCCCTCGAGCCTGTTCCACCATTTTATAAGATCATGGTTGATCTGTACCTCATCCAATTACCTGCCCTTGCCCCATATCCCTTAATACCCTGACCTAACAAATACCTATCAACCTCCGTCGTGAAAATATGAATAGATCCAGCATCCTTGGGGGAGAGAGTTTTGGATTTCCACTACCCTTCGAATCAAAAATGACCTTCTAACTTCACTCCTAAATGTCGTAGCTCTAATTTTAAGATTATGTCCCCTTGTTCTGAATTCCCCCAACAGAGAAAATAGTTTCTTTGTATCTACTCTTTCGAATACCTTTATTATTTTAAAAACCACAATCAGATCACCCCTCAACCTTCTAAGCTCAAGGAAATAGAGATCATGTTTAGGCAACCTGTCCTCGTAATTTAACCCTTTAAGCCCTTGTATCATTCTGGTTACACCCCCTCGAGGGCCTATGTATCCTTCCTGAGCTGCAGTGCCTAAAACTGAACGCAGTACTCCAGATGTTGTCTGACCAAGGCTCTATATAGTTGAAGCATCATTTTCTCTCCTTTATATTCCAGACCCCTTGAGATAAAGGCCAAGATCCCATTAACCTTTTTGATAAAGTTTTGTATCTGTGAGCTTGTTTTTAGTGACATGTACGTGGATCCCCAAATCCCTTTGATTCTCCGCAGTTCTTAATTTCTCCCCATTCAGAAAATATTCTGTTTTGCTATTTTTGGATCCATAGTGGGTGACCTCACACTTCTCCCACTCAACTCTACCCTCCACAAGCTCCAAATCTTTCAGAACTCTATAGCCCACTCAGTTGAAATATGCTGACGATCACCTCGGGATACATTGGTATATTGATAACAGCAACCGAATGTTCCAGAAGAATTGAGGGTTAAAAGTAGCTTTGCTGGATGGATTGAGTTTAGCTTCTGATTACATTTCATATTTTTCTGGAAAGATGTTCACTCCTCTGAGATAATGAGCAATCGGGTCCTTGAGCATAGATGTATGAACAATGAACCACAGAAAGAAAAGGCTGCAGCCTCAGACACCTGCCTATCTCAAGGCTGAGAAACAAACAGACTGTGGGAGGCTGCCCAGAAGTTGTCCATATCTCTCTCTGTGCAAAGCAGCCTTCGAAGGGTGGGGCCTATCTCTGTGACAAGGGGAGGTGGAGATAGAAACGCATAAAAGGAAGATGTAACTTTGGAATAGTTGGAGTTGTG